CAAAATTGCAATTAACACCTAAGGCACAAAGGAACATATCTACGTGTCTTGCACACCGATTGGGAAAGTGTCTCATGTGTTCATGACTTGCAAATTGTCTTTGTATTCTTAACAGCTTTCCGGATACATCGATCACATCGTGGATTTCAGTAAGAATACGAACTTAGTAGATAACTTTCAATTGGCTAACATCTGGAGCTTGAGAAGCTCTTACTGTTTTAGCTGGTCAAGAAATTTCCTGTCTTTTACGGAACCCACAGTTTATTACTCTGTTCACAAGAACCTACTAGGATGAAAGATTCCAAATCGAATATATTATCATAGGAGCAACATTATAAACTTATATTCGGGAGAAACCGTATTAAAAATCCGACTGCATCATCGGCTATCTTTAATGAGGTTGTAGCACTTTTACCAATTACCAGATAGGATACTGAAATAGGCTACATCTGCCTCCATGCCTTTAGCTACTTCCTCAAATTCTTGATACCCTTTCCATCTCATTCAATGTTATATGATTTATACAACTGAACTCCATAATAATAATAATAATAATAATAATAATAATAATAATAATAATAATAATAATCTTCTATTCCCGTCGCTCCCACTTGGAGCATATGTCATCCGCGAAACGCTTCGTTTCACTTGAGTTTCTTAATCTGCTCGTACAGACAGGCGGTAGGACTCCTTGGACTTGAGATCAGCCTGTCGCAAGACCGCTACCTAACAAACACAGAATAAACACAAGCAGACATCCATGCTTTAAGTGGGATTCGAACCCATGTTCGAGTGGGAGAAGACAGTTCATGCCTTAGGCCGCACAGCCACTGTGATCGGTCATACAGTTGAACAAGGATCATTGAATGGTGATATAACCACCGACACACGCCAGGGTTTATTAAATGGACTACAATGTTCATCCCCACATAGATTTTATATACATATATATTTATTTATTAGCAATCAGAATTAAATATATTCTTTAAGCTAATTTGCTAATGACATAGATTTTTAAGTAAGAATTTTTATTGCTTTGCTCTCTGGTTCTTACCTGTTTCCTGAGCCTGTAAATGAAGGCATTATATTCCTCCGAAAAGTCCCTGAACTTCTACTGGGCTACTTGGTGTCATATTACAGGAGATCATGTTCTTCGATGTTTATTCCTGAGAGATTCGAGGTTTTCGCAGTGGTGAAATTTCATATTTCACTTTTCTGGATTGTTGCACTGTGTTCAGTTTTGGCAGGTGGGTATTGACGTTTAAAAGAACTATACTGCGTCCATATTTGGTTAAATATTAAAGGTGGAAGCAATATGTTCGTTCGAAACATTGGCACTTACCTACAAGATTTAAACACGATGACATAGCCCGTAAGTCTACAGAATAAATATTTGTTCTTGATATGAGGATGCATCCAGAATTTATATCATTACAATTAATATACGAGCATAATGAATTGAAAAAGACATAGAAAGAAAAGGCAGTCGCCTGATTTATGGTATCATCTCAGCATTGCCCTGAATGGATCTCAGGATGCCGGTCACTCGGGCGAAAATTTGACCTTCGGACCTCCAGAATATGAAGCAGTATTCCAGCATCTAGAGCTCGGCAATCCGTATAATCCGAACAATAATTAGGTGAAATATCATTGCCTTATTTGTGGTAAAATATTAATTAAGGGCACTCAAAATTCGATAGGAGTAGTGAGTGAATTTTCGATTTTGATAAAATAAAGTGTGAAATTTAATATTTAAAATTCATTACTCAGAAACAAATATTGAGATACTGGCTTATCATGGAATTAGTTCCTGTGTTATTGAACCTAATATTAGGTATTTTCAGGGAGGCAAATAGAATGAAAATAATATATTATAAAACCATTGATAAACTAATCACAGTGTAATTACACATACAACATTCTTCCGCGTAATCAGCCTGATTTTGGAGCGTTTCTTTCAACAGTCCACAAGTTTTCTGATTCTATTTCTTAACTTTTTCTTCCATTATTGGATCCTGGGCTAAGCATCATTTAATTTCTTCAAATGTGAAGTTACTTTCCTCACGATTTATGAGAACATAAACGAACTGTATAGAGGGCGTAACCCAGAATATTTCTCGGCATAAAAATAACGAGATAGGCGAGGATATAATGACGAATAATCGCAAAATCTTAATGAAAGGATTAAAGTTATAGGAGATAAAAAGGAATTGCTACCAATATCACGAAGTGAGATTGAGTGCGGAGAGCATGGTACCTCTATAGCGATTTCCTGCTACATAAGATTGTTGAGTGACTTTTTTAAAATGCTTAGTTTCCATGACAAAAATAAAATTAATATTTTTTGCTCTCCTGTGTTGATAGTCAATTGTTCTTAAACAGTGACATTCGTTGAAGATTCCTCGAAAAACTTAAATCCATTTTAATTTTTGACATCGCGAAAATAATTATTCCTATTTTAGACTGTGGTCTTCTTGGGCTATGGAACTGTCTACCAACACTTTTGAGGAACCTGATCATTCATTTTCATTCTTTTATATTCTAAATTAATTAGTTTCGAATATTTTAGTTAGAATAATATATTCAAGACACCAGATGCTGGGACACACGGGTGGGCGTAGTCTTAGACTTCTAGTAGTAGTAGTAATAGTTTAAGTCAGATGAGAACTGCTCGTTCGTGTCGAACTAGTTGCATTGCTAGAAAGCAAAAGAAAAAGAAGAGAATAATATACAACATTTATTTATCACTGATTGACTGTCTCATATAACTACTTGCTACATGTTTGGGTGATGTGTGCACTATCTTCACGTCTAAAGTATCAAAGTATTTAGAAACAAGAAGTTTTGGAAAGAACCAGTCGCCTACTTTCCTTTCACTTTAAATTGAGTGTCTTATATGACAGGTAAAAAGAGAACTTTAATGTGAATGCGTCATGAATTCAGTAAACCAGCACAATTTGTGAGGCTGCCATGTTGGTATTACTGATGGGAGTGATTTATGAAGTACACTGTTGAGATGGCGTACCATGTTGCATGACGATTGGTTGGCGCGATGAAGTAATATTAAAGTTGTCACATCGACAGACTGAGAGGATGCAGTATTGGTATGCTGACGAGAAAGATTTAAGATTATGGCGTTGAGATGAGCTCAGATGGCATGACATACATGGTAAGTTTCATATTTTCGGTTCAGTAATTCAAATTATATTAAGGGTATTACCTGAAATATTTGAGAGACTGTAGTTCTGGCACTACTGATGACAGGTATTTCTTAAGCACGCCGTTGAGATGACCTCTTGTCGGGAGATATATATACCAAGCCTCATGATGTTCGGTTAAGACAGTGGTTCTCAAACTGTGGGGCGCGACCCCAAGGGGGGGGGCGAAGGGCTTGAAAGGGGGGCGCAGCATACTTTCCTACAGACAAAAATTAAAACTGCCCTAAATCAATTAGAAAAGTAACAAAAAATAAAAATACATATAGAAAAACTTTTGATGAGTACAGGCTTTAGTTATCATGAATTTCAAAATAACTAATAATTATTCTCTTTACCGGCAATTATAAAACGCGTATGCCAGAGACAGCGTTGATAGTTCGGCAGCAGCCGCATCCTCTGAAATCCTCTGAAGTCTAGACTTTTTAAAATG